GGGCAACTTGGCGAGACCTCATCTCTACAATAAATCAAAAAATTAGCTGGGCATGGTGGAAGGCTACTTGGGATCATCTGAGCCCAGCAGGTCAAGGATGTGGTAGCTGTGATCGTGCCTAGATGACAGAGTTAGATTCTGACTTAAAAAGAAAAAAGGTCAGGCGCAGTGGCTCACGCCTATAATCCCAGCACTTTGGGAGGCCGTGGTAAGAGGATTACCTGAACCCACGGGCTCGAGACCAGCCTGGGCAACATGGCGAGACCTCATCTCTGCAGTAAGTCAAAAAATTAGCTGGACTTGGTGGTGCATGCCTGTAGTTCCAGCTACTTGGAAGGCTGAGGCGGAAGGATTACCTGAGCCCAGCAGGTTGAGGCTGCAGTGGCTGTGAGCATGCCACTGCACTCTAGCCTGGGCAACAGAGTGAGACTCCAACTCAAAAAAAAAAAAAAGGCCCTAAGAGCTCAGTCACGTTCCCTGCAAGGGACCACACTGCTCCGTGTCTCCATGCAGGGCCCCAGGAAGGGTCTACATGGGTCGCCAGGCAGAAGAAGTGTGAGTCTGAGCATTCACGGAGTGGCCAGGGCTGAGGGTGTTCCCTCCTCACCACAACTGTTCACGCGTGGGCGCTCAAGTCTTGCCTGGCAGCATACAGAGGATACCTGGGCCATGGCAGGCCAAGAGGGGTCCCTGGGAGTCGGTATGGAGAGGGCACAGGCTGAGAGCAGGGCCGTGCTGTCTGGACGGCACAGCCACAACTGGAGGAGAGGCCTAGGTGAGTCACCCTCTGAGCAGGCTCAGCTGCCATGGGAGGCATGGCCCCCGGGCCTAGCAGCAGGAAGAAGGCTCTGCCATACTCCCTCCCAGACTTACCAGGGATGTGGGCGCTGGGGGGCACCCAGGGGGAGAAGGGGAAAGGCGGGGAAGGGGGAAGGGGGTCAGAACACTCTGACGGGCCCAGGGCAGTAAGCACTGGCAACAAGCCAGGCAGCTGAGCTGGGCAGAGGCGGGCAAGGCTGGGAGAGATGGCCTCGGTAGGAACACGGAAGCAAGGAGCGTGAGGCTCTCCCCCATGAGGGCCCTGGCCTACCCACACGCAGCAGTGGACGCTGGAGGTCAGGGCCCGGGAGGCTGAGGTACCGGATCCCACAGCCCCGCGTCAAGGCCTCACAAAGTCGTCTGCAACATCCTTGTGCAGATGAACATTCAGCCCCCGCACAGATGTCGCCGATGCCCATGCTGGCACGTACAGGTGACCCACCACGCTGCAGCCGCACCACTCCAGGCAGCAGCGGACACCACCCGGCCCCAAAAGAGTGCGACCTCAAGGCAGAGGCAGCCAGGGAGAAGGCAGACACCTCAAGGCCCCTCCCGGGCCCACCTTCCATCTTCCCCTGCCACACACCACACGGGCTGGGCAGTCCCTAAGCCCAATCACTCAGGCTCCTCCTTGGAACCTGTTTTAGGGAAATCTTGGTAACCTCTGGCCTCTGGCAATGCCGTCAGCCTTTCCAGATCCTCCCTGCGGGAGGATGTCCCTGATGGACCGAGGAGCATTGCCACGGAAGAAGCGCTAGTGTTTGCTGTGTCCAGGCCTGGCCCATCCCTACTGAGTAGGAGCCAGGAACAGACTAGGGGCTCAGCAGAGTGCAAAAATGTGACCTGTTCTCTGAACAACTTGCATGTCCTCGCAGCCGGGAGGGGCTGGCTGTGCAGGTGCTGAGGCCTTGCCTTCTGGCTGCATGGCATCACTGCAGGCCACCAACCGCTGGACAGACTCCTCAGCCCTCCCCACCCCCGCAGAGCAAGGGGCCATGGGAACTGACCAACAGCCCACAGTGATGTCAGCCATTAATGATGGAGACCATTACTAGACCCAAACACTAGAAGCAGGTTATACACTTGGATTTGAGAGTTTTTAATCAGAAGTACTCATCTTCCATCACTGTGCTCGTGACAGCCCAGGGAAGGCCTCCCATGAGACCAGGTTTCAGAACGAGTCTCAGGCTCTTGGTAAAAAATGCATGTTGTTGATTTCACTTAAACAACAGTAAGGCTGCAAGGCGCCAGCCCACGCACCCACAGTTGAGGCTGTGTGCCGCAGTTGCCATCACTCAGCTGCCTCGCCTGGGATGACAGAAAAACCGTCACAGCTAGCGAGGGCAGGGAGAACACAGCTCTCAGGAGAATCCTGCACCTGGCGCTGAGACTGGACCACGCCCCTTGTGGCCCTGTGCGTTCCGTGGAAGAATCAGGCCGGGCGAGTCTTGGGGGTCCTCAGCGCAGCTCACAGGGGATCTGCCTGGAAGGCACCCTGTACACCTACCTCATTCCGAGTCTCAGAGAACCTCCCGGGCGGCCACAGATCCTGGGCAGCACGGAGAAGCACCCAAGGTACTAAAGCCAAGGCAGCGGGATTCTTAGTTTCTTAAAGGCCAGTCAGCGAGAAATCAATTAGGAAAATGTTTCCCGGGACATCCTCAGCTTGGTCTCCAGACAAAGGCACCTCCTGGGGTCCCTCACCGGCAAGCTGTGTCTGGGATGGCGCCGGCTGCAGGCTGGAGAAGAGCGGTCCCTGCACCGTGGACTCTGACCTTCAGTAGACCCGACCTTGGCTTAGATGATGGGGTCTCCAGTGTGCATATGAACACAGCGCAGGGCATATGCAGGTGGGGGCGTCGGCACTCGGGTCTCCATGCAGGAGGCTGCCCAGAGGTTCATGGTGCACAGGTGCAGGTGTGGCTTCTCTGCCCCTGGCACTTTCACATTTCCTAGAACGGCACCTGTGTGAGCCACCCACAGGAGATAAACCCAGAGACTGCTTCAGATATGCGGCCAGGAGACTCGTGTCCTGGAACAAGTGACTGGCAGTTGAGGGTCTGACGCCAGGCATGTGCGGGGGGAAGGTGTGAAATAAACAGTGCCCTGCCTGAACCTGGCGCTGGGAGCATCAGGTGGCTGGAATGGTGGCATTGGGTCCCCAGCTGGAGAGTGACTGGGAAAGGTGACAGGCTGCCAGAGATATGCAGTGACATTTCCTAGTGACCTGTATCGCTAACCCCATTTCAGTGATTGGGAAACTGAGGTCAGTGGTGAAATGCTTTTATCCAAAATTCAGGTGAGTCAGTAGAGAAACGGGGATTCAATCCAGGGTCCTGGCCCCACACTGATATCCCACCACCTTCTGGGCTCCATCTCCTCACTGTTCCCGTCGTCACCCCTGCCAACGCTAGTCAGTGGCCTCCTCTGACCACCCCCACAGAGGCCACATCTGCTCAGCTACACCCCGGGGACAGGAGCAGATCCATTCACACAACCTGCTCTGCCTGCTCACAGGGAAGGTTACTGGGGCAGGGTCTTGCCGACTAGAAAACCGCCAGCCAGACAAGGACGCGTGCGATGAGCCACTTCAATTCCTCCATGCCCCTGCAGCCGCCCCCGACTTCAGTTTTATTCTGGTTCTTTCCTTCTTTATGATTATTGTTTTGGTAAGACATGCTCTGCTTCTTCTGTCGCAGTACACATATGCAAGTATGTCACGCTCCTGTGTAAAGTGCTGGGGTAGCTGGGCAGGAGCCCTGACAAGGTGTGCGTTCTGGTACAAAGGCTGTACTTCGAAAGTGCATGCTGCTTCTATTCACAGATCGCAGGGCAGAGCCGCCAGGACGGGCAGCGAGGCGCGGTGGTCAGGAGGTGAGGGACTGGATGTTCTTGAGCATCTCATCAAAGGCCTGTGGGGATGGCGCATCCGCGTTCCGGAAGGTGGCCTGGACCCGGCTGTACAGGCTGAAGGACTTCAGCTCCAGCCAGATAAACCCGAAGCGGTCCTCATCGAAGAGGATGAAGACCCCGGGGGTACGCTCAGGGCTGGTGAAGCCATGGCCAGCAATGAGGCCTGTGCCATAGAAACTGCAGAGACAAGGGGGAGGGCGTGAACAGAGGAAGAGGGCCACAAAGGCATGAGCGTGGCCAAGTCAACCATGCGCCACGCCGGGTGTTCTCAAAGCCCCTTCATGCCATGTCTACTATTCACCAGCCACTAGCTGAGAAGTGGCTGGCTGGTGGCCCACTGGGATGATGGGCCAAGCCTTCCTGAGGACAGGCAAAGCCTTGAATATGGAAGCTGGGGCTCTGGGCCACTGAGGAGATATGTCCTGCCTCACAGCACCTGTGACGAGGACTCGCCCACTGACAGTGTGCTCAGCCAACTCACTGAGCTGAAACAGAGGTCTTGGCGGGCCTGAGTGTTCTGATCCCAAGCATACGCCGCCAGAAAGCAGGCCCAACATGACAAACTCTACTTTCTGGGATGGTTACCACCACCCCACGAACAATTCAGATAAAACAGAGGCCTAGCCTGCCGTGGACGGGAGCTCAGACAGCAAACCGCACCAACACCCCCTCACAGCTTTGAGATCCACTCAGACTAAGTCTTCCTTCTTGCAGAGAACGATGCACTTCCAACAGAGGGCGGGACATCAGGGGCTGCCTGGAATCTCCACTGCAGGGATGGTGTCCGGGAAGCCCCGCCCGCCACACAGAGGCCTCGCTGGGCCAGAGGGGAACAGCCTGCAGATGGGACTTGTGCCTCAGAGGGTGTCTGGGGGCAGGGTAGGGCAGGGGAGTCCTCTCGCTCATAGGCAGGCAAACAATGGCCACAGTCAGGAAACAGACAACAGTTACTTCCCGCACAGGGGCCAGGCCAGGCCCTACAGACATGGAACTAGCCAGAAGGGCCCTGGCATTCAACACAGGGTGGAGGCCCATCCTGCAGTTCAGCTGGGACAGGGACTGGACCAGAGCTCCCGGCCAGTGGCCACAGCATGCACTGTGGGCTGCAAACTGGTTCTGAGCCAGCCATGAGCTACTGGGGGCTGTCAGGTGTTTTAGGGTAACAAAGTTTTTTTTTTTTTTTTTTTAACAGCTATTCAGCACGGTCATCACCTGGAGAAAAAGAGAATTCTATGCAACTGACAGGTAGGGATGACAGCCAGAAAACCTGGCTGTAACTGACCTTCTGCATGGTCCCAGTGCAACCACCCAGAATTTTCTGGATGATGGAACATTCTAGGTTACACTGCCCACCAGCCACGTGTGCTGTTCAGCACTTGAAATGTGGCCAGTGGGACTGAGGAGCTGCATTTGTCATTTTACTTAAAGCTGGTTCATTTACATTTAAACGGTCCTAGGGGGTGGGGAGGAGGGAGGGGCCTCCTCCAGCTTCCACCTAGGAAGGACCTGATGGATGGCCTGAGAGGGCAGAGAGGGCAGAGGGTGGCCACACAACACTGGAAGTAGGCAGCCCAGGCAGGCCCTGTCCCGATGAGCACCCATCTGGGACAGCAGCAGTGCCAGCCCCTCCCACACATGGTCTTAGCAGCGTCCACTTCACTGGCCACCCAGGCACTTGCCTGGCCAGCAGAGGCAGCCAAAATATAGCAGGAAGGAGGTGAGAGAATCCACAGGAAGGTAGGGCCACATCCAAATGCAGCCCTGGGAGATGGCAGAGGTGGCACCTGGGAAGATACTCAGGCAGACCACCAACCCAGAGCATTCTCTGGGGAGATACCTTCGTTCTGCATTTTTGGCCTTCAGAGCCGCTGGACAGCTCACCTTCCCTCTCTCGACTATAAATGAGCTGCTAGGATATGGGTGATGGAACTGCCTTGTCGGGACAGTGTGAGGCACTGGGGAGAGACTTGTGCCCTGGTGGCTCTGACAGCCCCAGGCAAGGTCCTCTCAAATGGTGGGAGGACGGGAGCCTCTGTGCCGAGATCCAGCCGTGCAGCATCTCACTCAGCTGCCGCCAGCCCAAGGGGCCGGAGGTCCTACTCCACAAAAGCCCAGACCTACTCTACCATCTGGGAAGGGGTTGGAGCCCCTGCTGAAGCCCACCTCTGCCCCACCGCCTGCCTCGCCCTTACCACATCCTGCAGGTGCGCGGATAGTCCTCATTCCTGGAGCTCACTCCAACAGGCAACACAAATGGCTGCCCCTCCCCGCCCTGGGCAGACTGCTCAGCTGCGGCGGCTCCGCCCCCAGGCTCCGGGCAGTCCACGGCAGGCACCTCTTCTGGCCCCCTGCCGGGCTGGACAGGCCCTGGCCGGCTGTGGTCCTCACCCGCTTCCTGCCCGCCGTCCTGCTTCTCCTGGCGCAGGCGCTCGCGGGCCTCCAGGACGATTCGCGAGAGCTCGTTGAGGTTGCGCAGGTTCTCAACGTCGGGCAGCTGGATGCGGTGCCGCAGGTCGACCTCCACCGTCTGCTGCCCGGCGGGGATGTTGGGGTCACCCTGTGGAGTGGCTGGGGTTAGTGGTTGCACAACTGGGCACTTGCCACCTGGCCTGGGCCTGGATGAGCTCAGTCGGTGTCCCATGAGAGAGGGGCAGCCCCTTATGCAGGGTGGGGTCTCGGAAGCCCTCAAAGTGGCACCCAGCACAGGCAGCCCATGTGGCCACACTGACAAAGGGGCGGCAGTGGTGACCAGGCGCCAGGGCAGCCCGCCTCTGTCTCCTGGAAGCTCAGCTGCGAGCTCAACCAGGAAGAGTCTGTAGCCCTGAACTCCTCAAGGGGTCAGGGCGCCAGACGCAGGGAAGGGGGTGGAGAGGGCCCCACTGTACCAGACAAGGCCCTGTTCCCTCTGGACACTTCAGTGCCATCTGCAGAGCCCATCCCAATAACCATGTGAGGCCGAGTGCTGGGCGTGAGCACCCGTCAGTGGCAGCACATTCAGAATACAGGAGGGGCTTCACTGCTGGGCACGGCAGAGAGCCCTTTCCCAGGTCACCCCCAGTTAAATCTGAGCCTTGGGGAGGGGGGCTGCCATCTGCATCCCCTAAACTACCCAGGGGCTTCCAGGAGTGGCCAAGGTGTGGAAAAGCTGCCTCAGATGCACTCAAGCTCCCTGTGAGTCTTGTGAAAATGCAGGTTCTGGTGCAGCAGGGCTGGGTGGGGCCCGAGAATCTGCATTCCCAAGGTCCTGGGGAGCTGGGGCTGCAGACCGAAGCCCCGCTTGGGGAGTTCGGGGGCAGAGCTCCTTGTAGGCCTGCGTCCCCAGGGAACCCAGCCCACCCCACCAGGGCGGCTGTGGGGGGCGCCACAGCGCTCACCGTGATCTTGGTGCCCCTGGCCCGCTGGCCGTGGAAGCTGAGCATAACGATCTCCAGGCCGTGGCTGCCATAGGTACCCTTGAAGAGGCCTGGCTTGATGAGGTCGTCGGGGTGGTGGGGTGGCAGGTAGATGCGGCGGTAGGTCAGGCAGTTGCTGCGGGGGGCGGGGGGCAGAGTGGTCAGCACAGAGGCCTCCTGGGCAGCTCGGCTTGGGCTGGGCCGGGGTCCACCGCACCCGCAGGGAGTGAGGAGAGAAGGACTGTGCCCAAACACCCGCCAGGAGAAGCGGGGAGGGGCCACGCCCACACACACGCCGGCAGAGGATGCCGCGGCCACTCACTCGTACTGGCTGGTGTAGATGAACTTCATGAGGATGAGCTCCTGCATGTGTTCGTGGAAGATGTCCTCCAGCGTGCGCCCCCACTCCTCCCTCAGCCATGTGCGGAACTCCTTCCAAAACAACACAGCCATGAGGGTCGCCCACAGGACGACATGAGGAGGCTCTGACCATGCTGCTGGGAGACATGGCACGCCCTTCTGTGCCAGGTAGGTGCCCCTGCCAGAAGCCTCCGGGTGGGGCAGGAGGACCACATGCTGGTGAGAGGCCATCTGCCCCGCCCCAGGCCCTCACTTCCCTGGAGCAGGGACCACCTCCTGGCAGGAAGCCACCGGGCTGCGGGGCACCTCGGGCGAGACTGGGACCACAGCGCATGACCACCGTCCCAGGTTACCACCCCAGTAGGCCCCACTTCCATGCCCACCAGTGGGACAGGAGCAGCGTCTACACTGGCTGGCTTTACACTGCACAGCCCCTAACCTGCCTCTAGGGCTCCTGGGAGAGTGAGCACGAGGGACACCTGGCCACCAAGCAGTTTGTTCAGCAAACATGTTTGTAAGAGGGGTTCCTGTCAACACCTCCCCCAAGGCTCAACAACTAGTGTGAGTCTGTAGCCAGACAATGCCAAGGATCCTAAGTACCAAACAGTTTGATTCCCCACGAGTAACATAACTGATCCAAACTTCCAAGTTCCTAACTCAGTATAGTGTTTGTAATGATTATCTAGAATCAGCTCTACAACCTGAAGCAAAAGCGATTTACCAAAAAATAGAAAGCTACAATCTCTCAATTGCTTTAATATGAGCTATGATAGCACCACTGCATCCAGCCTGGGTGACAGAGCAAGGTCCTATCCCTAAAAAGAATAAAAATAATAATAGTAGTAGTAGTAGTAATAGCAATTCAAGACAGGTCACAGACCTAAACATAAATGCAAACGCTAGGCTGGGCAAGGTGGCTCACACCTGTACTCCCAGCACTTTGGGAGGCCAAGATAGGAGGACAGCTTGAGCGCAGGAGTTTAGGACCAGCTTGGCCAACACAGCGACACCTCATCTCTACAAAATATCAAAAAATTAGCCAGTGTAGTAGTATACACCTATAGTCCCAGCTACTCAGAAGGCTGGCTCGAGGGGATCAGCTGAGCCCAGGAGATTGAGGTTGCAGTGAGCCGTGATCGTGCCACTGCACTCCAGCCTGGGCAACAGAGTGAGACCCTGGCTCAAAAAGAAAAAAAAAAAGAAAAGTAAACCCTAATGTTAAATGAACGAAGAAACTTCTATCTTAAAAAAGACATACTCTCTTTGCAAACTGGGGGCAGACAAACTTTTAGGACCCAGAAAATAACTATAAAAGGAAAAAACTGACAAATTAGACTTTGTCAAAAATAAAACCTTCCATCCAAGTGGCTGACCTTGGGAGGAAAGGCTCTAACCAATGAAACAGCTAAACAGCAGAGAGAAACAAAAGTAACTGACTGTCATGAACAAGGACTTCCACGTCTCCACAGTGAGTAACTAGACTCCAACTAAGCACCATCACCAAGGTGACTTGTGTGTGGTCATAACCTGATTTACTTTGCCTGGAAAGCTCAAAGTCTCCAGGTCTATTGACTCAGAACAGGGATCTCTGAAGTGTCTGTGATGAAACTGTCTTGCAAGGGCAAGACATGAGTGCAAGAAAAAATAACAACACGGGGCCTGGACCAAGAAGACAACGAACCTACAATTTCCCCAGGCCTTGCTGTCTAACAAGCCGTCACCTCCATGTCCACAGCAGCCCCAGGACTGAGAGCAGCAAAGGTGCCTGTTGGCCGCTTGTGACGTGGCAGTGCTTGGGGTCATGGTGGCGCTCAGGATGTGGTGGCTGCTTGGAGACATGACAGCTGCTTAGGATGTGGCAGCATCCAGGGACATGGTGGCACTTGGGGATGTGGCGGCACTTGCGGATGTGGTGGCCACTCAGGCAGCTGCTTAGGGACATGGCAGCACTCAGGGAAGTGGTGGTGCTCGAGGACGTGGCAGCACTCTGGGACATGGTGGCACTCAGGAAGATGGCAGCGTTCAGGGATGTGGTGGCATGGCCCATCCTGCCTCCTCTCTCCCATGTCTGCTCCTTCCACAGGTCCCAGGTTTCCAAAAGCCTCAGCCTGGGGAGGGGCCTACATAGGAGATAGTGGCCCAGCCTGTCACCCATTTAGAAAAATCCAGGCAGTGTCTGCACCAGAGAGCTGGTTGCTAGGGACCTGGGAAACAGCTAATTCTAGAGCTCACTGGGAAACAGGCAAGCAGGATGAGTCTGGAAAACAGAAATAGAGGGGCCAAGGGTCCCGGTTTCTCAGACTCTAAGACACAGGGACCCACAACCCCGTGGTATCATCATACCCATCAGGCAGCATAGGACAAGGAGTCAGGAAAGCAGCAGACCCCCACCAGCGCTGCTTACCCACAAGTGACCCTAACAGGGCTGGCCTTGGGCAGAAACCCATAGCTCCCAAGAGGAAGTTACGGGGGCTCTAGGTACATAAGCCGGTGCTAGAGGGCATTAGCACTGCCCCCAGGCGGGGTATTCCAAACTCAGAAGAGACTTCTCTGCCAGGTGGGCTGTGAAGAGGCCCGCTTCTCCCCAAGGAAGAGTGTCCTGTGTCTATAGCTCGTCCCTCCAACATTCCAGGCGGCCAGGCTCCTCTGCTCCCACGGGAACACTCTGCCTGGAGTTTAGAATCAGACTCTCCTCCATCAGATTTACTGTAGAGATGAGGTCCCTGTGCTCAACCTCTCATCTCACTTTTCTTTTCTTTTCTTTCTTTTTTCTGAGTCAGTCTCATTCTGTTGCCCAGGCTAGAGTGCAGTGGCATGCTCACGGCCACCACAGCCTCAACCTGCTGGGCTCAGGCAATCCTTCTGCCTCAGCCTTCCAAGTACCTGGAACTACAGGTGCTCACCACCATGTCCAGCTAATTTTTTGATTTATTGTAGAGACAAGGTCTCTCCAACTTGCCCAGGCTGGTCTTCAACCCGTGGGCTCAAGCAATCTTCTCACCTCAGCCTCCCAAAGTGCTGGGATTACAGACTTGAGCCACCATGCCCAGCCTCACCTTACTTTTATTTTATTTTTCTTTTCTTTTCTTTTTTGAGTCAGAGTCTCACTCTGTCGTCCAGGCTAGAGTGCAGTGGCATGCTGCTCACAGCCACCGCAGCCTCAACCTATTGGGTTCAGGTGATCCCTCCGCCTCAGCCTTCCAAGTAGCTGGAATGACAGGAGTGTGCCACCACACCCAGCTAATTTTTTGATTTATTGTAGAGATAACATCTCACCATGTTGCTCAGGCTGGTTTCAAACCTGTGGGCTCAGGGAATCCTCTCACCTCTACCTCCCAAAGTGCTGTGATTACAGGTGTGAGTCCATACCTGGGCTCTCATCTCACTTTTTCAAACTATCAGGATGTGTCACCAAGTGCACACCTCCTGACACACCCTCTTCCTGGGACACAGCTCACCTAGTAACTCAAGCTGCTCTCTGGTCCAAAAGATTTAGCTAGAAAGTAAAAAGAGGGGCCGGGTGTGGTGGCATGCCTCTAATCCCAGTACTTTGGGAGGCCCAGGTGAGAGGACTGCTTGAGTCCAGGAATTTGAAACCAGTCTAGGCAACACAGAGACTCCATTACTTCAAAACATTGGTGGTATGGTGGTAGCTACTTGGGAGGCTAAGGTGGAAGGATCGCCTGAGCCCAGGAGGTCAAGGCTACAGTGGCCATGATTGTGCCACTGCACTCCAGCCTGGGTGACAGAGTGAGATCCTGACAACAACAACAAAAAAAAGCTTAATGACAAATGTACAGATCTACCTGAAGGAAACAGTAATGCCCCACTGAGAAATATGGAATGTGCATGACCAAGCAGAGGCAGACAGCACGCCGGTCGGAGGATCTCAACATCACACAGCCTCGGCTCTCCACACACTGGCCTCTAAGCGTCATGTGATCCCAATCAAAAGAAGAGTCACCAAGAGGGTATTTCTGGGAAACAGCTAATTCTAGAGTTCACCAGGAAACGGACAAGCAGGATGAGCCCGGAAAACAGAAATAGAAAGACAGAGGCAGCCCGGTCCTGCAGGATGAAACACAGTGATAAAGCCACGATCATCAGAGCAGTGTGGAAGCCACGTATAGACAGACATTGTGGATCAGAATATCAAGTCCAGAAACAAACCAAATACCTGGCCATCTAGGACAAAGGCGTTTCTCAAATTCATAGAGAAAAATGTAGATTATTCAACATCCGGCCTGGAGGCAACTGAGAGGACCACACTACAGCAAAGTCATGGCTAACCTTATGTTTCACAAGAATAAATCCAAAAACCCGGAGGCATAAATGGGAGAAAAGAAAAGCATGAGTCCACCTACAAACATGGCACTGGATAGGGGAGGGGTTTAAGACAATGCTAAGCTAAGAGGCTTTAAGGAAAGAGAGACCAGGACCAGAGTGTCTCATATCTGTAATCCTATCACTCTGGGAGGCTGAGGCGAGACTATGGCCTGAGCCCAGAGTTCGAGACCAGCCCAGGCCTCTTGGTGAAACCTCATCTCTACAATAAATTTTTTAAAAAATTAGCTGGGCGTGGAGGCAGACAACCGCACTTCTAGCTACTTGGAAGGTGGAGGCAGAAGGATCGCCTGAGCCCAGCAGGTTGAGGCTGCAATGGCTGTGAACAGCGTGCCACTGCACTCCAGCCCGAGCGACAAAGTGAGACCCCAACTCAAAAAAAAAAGGAAGGCCGGCTAGGCTCGGTGGCTCAGCCTGTAATCCCGCGCTTTGGGAGGCTGAGGTGAGTGAATTGCCTGAGCCCGCAGGTTTGAGATCCACCTGGCCAACTTGATGAGACCTCATCTCTACAATAAATCAAAAAAATTAGCCGGGCATGGCGCACACCTGTAGTTCTGGCTACTTGAAAGGCTGAGACAGAAGGATCACTGGAGCCCAGCAAGTCGAGGCTGCAGTGGCCGGGAGCAGCCACTGCACTCCAGTCTGGATGACAGAGACTCCAACTCAAAAAAAAAAAGGAAGGCCGGGCTTGGTGGCTCACACCCATAATCCCAGCACTTTGAGAGGCCAAGATGAGAGGACTGCCTGAGCCCATGGGTTTGAGAATAGCCTGGGCAACATGGTGAGACCTCATCACTACAATAAATCAAAAAATTGGCCAGATGTGGTGGTACGCATCTGCGGTTCCAGCTACTTGAAAGGCTGAGGCAGAAGGATTGCCTGAGCCCAGCAGGTCAAGGCTGCAGTGACTGTGAGTGTGCCACTGCGCTCCAGCCTGGGTGACAGAGTGAGACTCCAATTCAAAAAATAAAAGAAATACACCTGCTTATATAATGATTAAAAATTTAAAAAAATCCCATAGATGAAAACACCATAAGGCAAATCAAAAGACAAAAAAAAGAACGAGGAAAAAACCTGGCCACTCCTATCCGGAAAGGGCTCATTTTCCGGATAAAGAGCTTCTACAAACTCGCTGGAAACACACCAACACCAGACAGAAGCAGAGCTCTTCCCAGGCACCAGCTACTCCCAGACACCTCATGGAAGAGGCCACAGAGCTCCTGACCAGAGACACTGTCCTCAGCCTCGTTCAGAAAAAAAGAAATATAAATTAATAACCCCAATGTCAACATTCCAACAGGGCAATGACTCTCACCACAACACTTGGATGTTTTTCTCATTTCTACAAAAAGCACGTGCTATTTGTTTATTTGTTTGTTTAACTGAGAGGTTCTAGCTCTGTCACTCAGGCTGGGGTGCAGTGGTGCAATCATAGTTCACTTCAGCCTTGACCTCCTGGGCTCAAGCGCTCCTCCCACCTCAGCCTCCCAAGTAGCTGGCACTAAGGCCCGGGCCACCACACCTGGCCTATTATTACATTTATAATCAGAAAAAATACTATTCCACTTCAAAATCAATGAGCTCACACATAGAAGCTCACTCACAGAAACTTTTTCTGTCCCAAAGTATATGTTACCAGAAACATAATATGTGGCTTTCTTTTTTTAAATCTCAACAGCTGAGGAATTTCTATTCTTAGAAGATACGCTGACATTCTCATTTAAATGTGAGCTGCAGCCATTGCATACATGTCGTGTATATGACTGGACTTCAAATGTAAACTGACGGTGTTACAAATGAAAAGGCATTCCCATTCTTCATCATCTTCACATGCTGTTCATTTAAGAAACAGGCCTCCCCCGCCTTCAAAGGGTCCCGAGAAACTCATCCATTCTGTCCATCTTTCCTCTACCTGCAGGTCTCTGGCTAACACAGAAAACTACCAGAAACTCAGTAACTGGCTAAGAAGTGTGCACCCAACAAATAAGCACCGACTGCAATGAGCATCCTATGCTTTACAAGTTCAAGTTCTTCCTAAAGATATTTTGAAGCTGGGTATGGTGGCTCACGCCCGTAATCCCAGCACTTGAGGGGCAGAGGCGAGAGGATTACCTGAGCTCATAGGTTCAAGATCAGCCTGGGCAACATGATGAGATTTCATCTCTACAATAAATTAAAAAATCAGCTGGGTGTGGTGGCACATGCCTGTACTTCCAGTTACTTAGAAGGCTGAAGTAGAAGAATCACCTACGCCCAGCAGGTCCAAGCTGCAGTGGCCATGAGCGTGCCACTGCACTCCAGGCTGGGGGACATGATGAGACTCTGACTCAAAAAAAAAAAAAGGCATTTTGAAAGGACAATATGGCTTAGATCTTCAGAGAACTCAAGGGTAGTATGACATCACTCATGCAAACAACAGGACCCCTGACACACATGCCACACTGCCACCATCCCAGAACCTCAACCACAGGGTCTTCGAGGAAGGAGACAGGGCTCTGAACACAGCCCTCAGGTCTCCCTTGCATCTCATGCCAGAAGCAGCTCCTGCAGCCCTTGGTCATGCACGTACCCATCAGGGGAAAGGGCGCTCACTAGGGAAACCGCAACCTCCACGTGGCTTGTGCCCAAGGGGTGGGATGACACCACTCAGGCACCACGCACAGGACACCACTCTCATTAGGGCACCAGGGGCAATCCCACACTGACCACAACAGGCCAGCCCACACGAAGCAGCCAGGCTGCAGGGCGTCCGTTGGTGCCTCCAAACCCTCCCGCCTCCTGTGTCTGCACTTTGCCCATGGGAGGGCCAGGTGGGCATGACAGCGCGTGACCAGGCCCTGCCTCCCGCAGCTTGGACTCACCTCCTGCCTCCCGCCAGACATCCTGTGGTGGTCCGTCTGGTTGCACTTGGTGGAGAACTCATCCTTCTTCACAATCTTCAGCATTCACAATGGAAGGAAGAAGGGCAGCGAGGGACACTGAGTCAGTCGCCACATCCACCAGGCTGGCCAACCCTCACCTCCACCAAACCCATCTCCAGACACCCAAGATGCTACTGACGTGGGACCATCCAGAGGGAGTGCAGAGTCACCCTGAATGCGGGGTATGGCGGGCATCCAGGAGGGGGGATGTGTGCGTTTTTTCCAGCAGGACTCAGAGCCGCAGAGGGGCTATGTCTCACGCGTGTGCAGAACACACTGCTCCATGGGCCCATTCAGAGCAGAGCATTTCATCCCAAGCTGATGGTCCCGCAACAGGAGAAAAGGGACCAGAGGAACACAGACCCCACAGTGGGCTGTGGCACGGGTGTCTTGAGGAGCTCAGCAGGAGATCTGCTCGACACAGGACTGCTGCTCAGAATATCACAGTGAACCTGGCCGGCCCCTAGGGAGGCACTGGATCAGAAGGATCCACCCCCTTGCCTGCACATGCCTGGCTGGGAGCCCACATGCTCACACACCTGAATGTGGCCGTTGTGGGGCCCTTTGTGGCCATACATGCACTCCACTGTGGCAGACTTCCTCTCCATTAGGTGGATCCTGAACAGTGGCTTGAATCTCATCGGGTCATCCACGTGAGGGTCGTGGGGGGGCAGGTACATCCACCCAATGATGAACAAGCCGTCCACCTGCAGCCGGGAGATGGGCACGGGTCCACACATGGGCTCACATGGGTAGAACACAGCGGCCCTGTGTGCCTGCCACCTCCACGGCAGTCCCAGGGTAATCCCAGCCGGGCACACACACAGGAAGCACATACCCCGCAACAAGGTACGTGTCAGTTCCACAGGCCTGATCTAAAGCAGCGCCCTAGCATCACGTTCAGCTCCACAGTGGAAGGGAACCGACTCAGTGACACTAGCAGGAGGCAAACAGGATATTCCAGAAGGCAATACCCAAGAAGGCACCCAGCCTGTCAGAAGAACGCATGCTCCTTTCAACAGAAGAGGCAGGTAACAGAATGCACATGGGTGGCACGAAGGCCCTGCCTGCATCCTGATTTGCACAACTAACTGTCCCAAAGAAGATCTGAGATGATCTGGGAAGCTGAAAGAGGGGCGAGGCACCAGGCAACACCCAGGAGTCACTGCTGCTTTTGTCAGGGTGGTCTTGATGTGGGGGAGACGTAGGAGACACCCCATTTCTTAGAACGCCACACTGAAGTAGGAAGGAATGAAATGCCATGGCCTGAGAGCTGCCTTAAAGTTCTTCAAAACAGAAGCATGGGCGGGAGAGAGGCCGGGAGCCGGACATGAGCTGAGAACTCGAGCCTGGGGTGGTGATTGTGAGCACCTGGCACTCAGCTCCCCGGCCATCTGGGTGTCGAGTGGGAGATCACCAAAGCAAGGTTGCCAGCGCTCTCTCCAGTGGGAGAGACGGCCCCACAGTCACCCCCGCTGGGAGAGCCAGGACCCAGCAATCACAGGGAGAGCACATCATCACCTCTGTGGCCGATGAGTCAGGCAAAAGCGAGGTGGCTCAGCTCTTCAGGGCTCATTTCTCTATCCCCTGTGTTCAGAAGCTGCGTCTTCTTGCTGTTGTTGTTGGTGTGTGTGTGTGTGTGTGTGTGTGTGTGTGTGTGTGTGTTACTCACTTCCAGTAAGAAAAACAAATATTTCCCTGCCCAACTAAAAGGAGGAAAAGAAATCTGCCCACGCTGTAAGGGGCCTGGCATGTCTCTGGGGAAACAGTCTAAAAGCAAGGCTTGCCCCACATGGCATTTAATGTAACAAATGTCGCATGTGTTTCCCAATGGATGTTTCCACCAAATCACAATGTTTATCCCTCACCCAGAACCCCAACTAATGAGCAAGACACAGAGACAGAGTCACCACTCACCCAGGTGGCCTGAGGACACCAGACCCAGAAAAACCTACCAGGGACTGTCTGTGCCGGGCCCGAGGCCACAACAGGAGCAGACATACCTGCCGTCACCAAGTGATGCATACAGCCAGTCCTTGGGCTCAGCTCCCCGGCCTCCAAGCACACAAAAAGAGGGGAGGGCCGGGCACAGTGGCTCACACCTGTCACCCCGCACTATCTAGGAGGCTGAGGTGGGAGGACTGCTTGAACCCAGAAATTCAAGACCAGCCCGGGCAACATAGCAAAGCCTTGTCCCTACAAAAAAAAAAAAAATGAAAACATTAGCTAGGTGTGATGGTATGCACGTGTAGTCCCAGGTACTCAAGAGGCTGAGGTGGGAGGATCACCTGAGCCCAGAAGACTGAGGCTGTGGTGAGCCATGATCATGCCACTGCACTCCAGCCTGGGGGACAGAGTGAGACCCTGACTCAAGGGAAGAAAAAAAAGGTCAGACTTCCATTTCTGATCATGATAGGTACCAGGGAGTGGGTGGTCCCTCCCACTGCAAACAAGAGAAACAGGAAACAAATATTCTCAGACCCTGGACAGCAGGCAGCACAGGACTGTGGTCCCCCCAAAAAAGGAGAGTCAGAGGTGACTCTGCCATCACCCTGGACATCCACCTGGAACTTTCTAGCACTTTGCAGACTGCAGTGCTCAGAGGGGTCCACAGTAGGACCTGCAGTCTTCTGAGGAGACAGATGTCGTAGCTCAGAGGGCCTGTGGGTAGAAGCATGCAGGCACAGACCCAGGAAGGAGGGAGCCGGCCAGAGGATGCTCCAGAATCGCCCGAGCCTAGAGCTGCTGATTGCGGCAGAGTAACAGGCCTCAGTGTCCTTAGGCCGACCTTACCCTGTCACCACAAGGTCCACGGGCAGGGTGAGGAGGCCAAAGTGAAACTGAAATCGCATCTCTGCTCATGCGGCCCTGAGCAGTGCCCGAGAAGCTCTGGGGCCTCTCCTCGAACGCCACGACTCTAGGCTAGCCGAGTCTTCGAGAAGGGGTCCCTGCTCTTGCACAGACCCGCGGGGCCGGACTTACCACCACATTCAGCAGGCCCCCGTATGGCCCGATGTCTGGCTGCCACAGACCCAGGACGTGTCTGTAGCGGTGCAGCACTGCAGGGAGAGAGAAGCCTATGGTTAGACACGGTGCGGCGTGAACCCAGGAACCACAGGAGGGGGCTGGGCTGTGAAGACTCCGCTCACAGAGGCGTGCAAGAAAGTCGTTCACACAAATGCACATCAAACCTCACCTACGAGTTTCCAGAGCCTTCTAAGAATAAAAAGACGGGCACAAAGCCAAGGTGGAGTGAGCTTCCTGAAAGCAACGCGCCTCCCACCAGTGGGGTAAAATCAAACAAGGCTGGAAAGTCTCCTTTCTAGGAACAAGATGGGGAGCATGTGCAGAGAGCCTTTCTGAGTGCCGAGAGATAAGCATCGCTGCGAGGTGGGCCATGAAGCAGTGAGGCTTGGAAGGTATCGTGGTAGGCCGGGCATGGTGGCTCATGCCTGTCATCCCAGCACTTTGGAGACGAGAGGATTGCCTGAGCCCAGGGGTTTGAGACCAGCCTGGACAACATAACGAGACTCATCTCTACAATAAGCCAAAAAATTAGCCGATTATGGTAGCGCTCGCCTGTGGCTCCAACTACTTGGAAGGCTGAGGCCGAAGGATCACCTGAGCCCAGCAGGTAGAAGCTGCGGTGGCCATGATTGTGTCACTGCACTCCAGCCTGGGTGACAGAGTGAGACTCTGACTCAAAAAAAAAAAATGTCATGACTCACAGGAGGCCAAAACTCGACTTCTGTTATGCTCCAGGCTAGATACTGGCCAGGCCAGGTTGGACCATCTCACCCTGAGTAGCTCCCACTGACCTTCAAAGCAGCCTTGACCCCTACCCAGGATGCCTCCCTTCTAGGATGGCCTCGATGCGCCAAGCTTCGCCTCTTTCCACAGCTCCCAGCCTGGCCCTCCGATGTCTGATTGACCGGCCTTCCCACTCTCCATCAGCCTCCACTGGGGTCACAGGACCCCAGTCATCTCTGGAAGCTTCCCCCATCGTATCTGCAGTCATAAGCCACCCAGCCCGCTAAGTGCTTGTATGGAGACTGCCTCACAGACGGCTGCCACTGGCCTGTGACATTCAAGAAGACTCCTCAAGCCAGGTTCCGTGGCTCAGCCTATAATCCTGCGCCTTTGGGAGGCTGAGGTGAGTGGATTGCCTGAGCCCGCCGGTTCGAGACCCACCTGGGCAACTTGGCGAGACCTCATCTCTACAATAAATCAAAAATTAGCTGGGCGTGTTAGTGCGTGCCTATACTTCCAGCTACTTGGAAGGCTGAGGCAGAAGGACTGCCGGAGCCCAGAAGGTCGAAGCTGCAGTGACCGGGAGCGGCCACTGCACTCCAGTCTGGGTGACAGAGTGAGACTCCAACTCAAAAAAAAAGAAGACTCCTCAACGGACACACACCCAAACAGCAGAGCCAGGGCCATGGGTTGGGTGCAGGAGCCAATGTGGAGGGTGGTCCCAGGAAGAAGGGCTGGGGAGAACATGGCAGGAGGAGCCAGCAGAGGACACTTCACAGACACCCCCATCATGGCCACCAAAGGGCAGAGGTGGCAGCCCAGGTTGTCCCTGCATTGCTCCGACGGTGGAATGGAAATTGCTGGGTCTCGCCATACATAGGACTGCCCGGAGAGGGGCACCCACACCTGCCTAGACAGCAGGTAAGACCAAAGGAGCACGCCCAGGCACCTGAGGGGGCTGAGGGCTGCCGAGACAGCTGGAACAGATTCCCTGAGTCCAGCAGAGCTACTGAGAGAGCTCAGGAAGTCAGGTAATGATAAATCTCCACAATAAATAAAAAAATTAGCCAGGCATGGTGGCATGCGCCTGTGGTTCCAGCTACTTGGAAGGCTGAGGTGAAAGGATCCCCTAAGCCCAGCAGGTGGAGGCTGTGGTGGCCATGAGTGTGTATCACTGCACTCCAGTCTGGGTGACAGAGATTCCGACTTAAAAAAAAAAAAAAAAAAAGGCCGGGCACGGTGGCTCAAGCCTGTAATCCCAACACTTTGGAAGGCCAAGGTGAGAAGATTGCCTGAACCCAGAGGTTGAGACTAACCGGGGCAACTAGGCAAAACCTTGTCCTTACAATAAATGAAAAAATTAGCTGACGTGGTGGCACACGCCTGTGGTCCCAGCTACTTGGAAGGCTGAGGCAGAAGGATCGCCTGAGACCAGGAGGTCAAGGCTGTGGTGAGCCGTAATCATGCCACTGCACTCCAGCCTGGGTGACAGAGACCCTGACTTGAAAAAAAGGTTGGGGGCAAACAGCGCTAAGAGCACCACTAGCTCAGCAGGTGCTGGCTACCAGGCAAGCATCTGAGGGCTCTGTGGGCAACGGGAGCCAGGCTGACTTCTGAGCACTGCAGTGACCGACTGCACCAGACTGCAGGAAGATCACGCAGGCAGACCACAAGGCTGGGAGGCAGTGAGGAGGTCACTGCCTTGTTCTGGACACAGGGAACATCCAGAGCCTCTGCAGCAGACACTTCACTCCAGCAACAGCTCTGCAGAGCTCACTGGACATCACTCAGGAGGTACCTGAACAAGTCTCAGCTGGTGGGGTCACCGCTGCTCACCCCGTGCACAGTGTCCCTGTTAGAACAATCATGAGCCTGTTTGCAGGACACGGCAAAGTCAGTCTTGTCATTCATGGTCATGCCTTGAGGGGATTGTGACCAGGAGCCGTAAACAAACACTGAACTCAGTGAAACGCAGGCTCCAGTGCTCAGGGGTGAATGGACATATGCCTGCAACTCTGGAATGCACCAAAAACAATCAGTAGGGCCAGGCACGGTGGCTCATACCTGTACTCCCAGCACTTTGGAAGGTAGAGGCAAGAGGACTGCCTGAGTCTAGGGGTTCGAGCCCAGCCTGGGCAACTTAGCCAGACCTCGTCTCTACAATAAATCAAAAAATTAGCCGTATGTGATAGTGTGCGCCTGTGGTTCCAGCTACTCGGGAGGCTGAGGCAGGAGGATCACCTGAGCCCAGCAGGTCAAGGCTATGGTAGCTGTGAGCATGCCACTGCACTCCAGTCTGGGCTACAGAGACCCCCAACTCAAAAAAAAATCCAATAGAGATATGGATGGAGGGAAGTAGACTGCGGAGTGACAATGACATGTAGCAGAGTATTGCTGAAGCCAGGGGTGGAGGTGGGGGTTTGCTGTACAAGTCTCTCAACTTTCTTGTATGTTCATAATGAAACACTGGAAGAAATAACACTACTCAGCATGGCCCTCTTCTCCCCTCCTCTCGTCTCCCAATCTAAGCGATGGAAGACCCTTCAAAGACCACGCCACCAATGTAGCAGTCCCCTCTCATATAGTCATTCAAAAGAGATGAATCCAAGAGTTTAAATGAGAATTCAGCTCCCATCCAGACAGAGAGAGTAGAGTTACAGACACATGAGCGTGAACCTGACCTCTGAGAATCCCAAAGCCTTGCCAGTGCTATAAACATGCCATCCAGCCACCTGTTTCTCTAAGGTCACAGGACCCGGCCCTTCCTTATGTGGGCCCTGGAAAAAAGAGGACCATGAACAACATTCACTGTAATACCGCACAGCAAAATGTGCCCTAGTGTCCCAACATGGAGCAACATAAGTCGGTTGTTTGTTTGTTTTTTCTTAAGACTTGTTTTAAAGTAGATTTAGATTCACAGCAAAATTAAGAGGAAGGTACAGAGTGCCCCCGCCCAAGTCTCCCCATGATCAGCACCACCATCCAGAGTGGTGCGTTTGTTAGTCGCTGACTACAATGACACGTCATCACCCACAGCTGACATCAGGGTTTCCTCTTGGTGTTACATTCTGTGGTTTTGACAGATGCGCGGTCACCCGTGCCCACCATGAGGCATTGCACAGAGGATGTCACTGCCCCAAGAATTCTCGGTGTGCTTCCCACTCACCCCTCCCTCCAGCCCAGCAACCCCTGCTCCCTCTACTGTCTCCACAGTGTTGCCTTTTCCTGGACGTCTCTGGTTGGAAGCACACAGTGTGTAGCCTTCACACATGAGCTGCTTCACCTACTAACATGCACTTAAGATCCTCTGTGTCTTTTCACAGCCCAACAGCTCACTTTTTTTTCAGCACTGACTAATACTCTTTGTCTGGATGTTTTTCAGTTGATGATCCATCACTCACTGATGGACATTTTGGCCAGGTTGATCAGGAGAGGACACCAGCAGGTGGGGAGGAAGGCTGATCAGGAAAGAGTACCAACAGGGCAGAAAAAACCCAACAGCTCCTGAGCAAAGACCTGCCAGCTCTGCAAAGGACGAGGTGGTCGAGCAAGGCATCCTTGTGCTGATCCTCTGGATTGTATAAAAACCTGATCTGGAGCTGCATGGCCGCAGGTTCAGGGTGGGGGTTCATGGTCAGGGTGCCCAGAGCTGCAGAGGAGCCTCATGGCTTGATAAGCCCCAGCTGCCTCAGAAGGTAGCATGTTCACTCCGGGCCAGTCTCAGACCTCGGGGCAGTCATGTTCACAGGCAAAACTGGCTTCCCAGTCAAGAAGGCAAGTGAATGTTTTCCAGTACTTTCCCTGTGTTCTTGTGGGACCCTTGCCCTGAACCGGTCATGGGCTGAGTCAGGACCGGGTCCACAGCTGGCCTGGCGAGGCCCTCACAGCGCCCTGGCCGGGGAGCTCCCTGCAGCCCAGGGTTTCTCACCCAAGAAGCGCCCTCCTCTCCACAACGTTTCCCAAGGACCATCAGGAGAGTCACCAAGCCGCTGGCTCAGGGCAGACACACACTTGGAACCTGAGCTGTCAAGTAGACTGTTCTGGACCCTGCAGGCACTATGTTCCAGACTCCTCAGGCACCATGCCATGTTCTAGACCCTCCAGGCACCGTGCCGTGTTCTAGACCCTCTGGGTGCCGTGTTGTGCTCACGGAGCCAGACCCTTAGCTACAGAAGGCAACAGTGACCCCAGTGATAAGAGCACTGCTTCCAGAGGCAGGCTTCCCCTTCCCAAGGACCTGTCCTGCCCATGAGGCAGCTCAGAGCTTTTCCTACCACTGGTCTCCAGGTCACCCGGGGACAAGGTCAGC